CATCCATCCATCCATCCATCCATCCATCCATCCAACTGTCATCTATCCATCCATCCATCCATCCATCCATCCATCCATCCATCCATCATCCAATCATCCATCCATCCAACTGTCATCCATCCATCCATCCATCCATCCATCCATCCATCCATCCATCCATCCATCCATCCATCCATCCATCCTTGGCTCATATTAGAAGGTTTTCATTGGTAAGTGTAGTGAAAGCTATTATCTTTAACTGAAATTGATATCGCTGTTATTAAAGCTTTTATCTGATATTTTTCATATATTTCTCAGATTTGCAACACCATGAAAGACTGATCACATTGTGGACATTGCTTCTCTCCTTCAGTTAATCATGCAATGTCCTGCGCTGCATCACTCTTAACGTCACGTGACCAAACAAAGACCACATGGCCATGGGCCACATTGACTGATACAGATGCAGCTGATATTAGTTGTGCATCGTAACCAATAACACAGCTTTGTTTTCACTTGCTGCTGTGTGTGATTCCTCTGCAGGTTGGGGTTGTTTGGGTCGGTGTAGGTAGGAAGGACTGTTATTGGCTCAATTTGATATAATTATCCTGTCATTTTGTATATGTACAATATTTGTATGAATTGTATTTTAAAGAGTACCATGATGAAACACTGATGAAAACGTTTCACTATGGTTAAATGTGGTTAATTCGTTTAGATATCAACATGACCAATCAGGGTTGCGTGGTTTTTAACTGGAAGAGAAAAGCAATGTCAGTGGAGGACTCATTTCCTCATGTCGCTTACAAGGTGGAGCATTATATAAGTAAAGTCAAGAAATGTTGATTATTGACTAATATGGTGGTACTCATTGCTGATACCAAATGTTCATATTAGTGCTTCCCTGGTTTAGTCATATTTAGTTCTGATTGTTCTTCTTAAAATTTCTTATTTTATTGTAAGTAACAAACTAGTGAACTAAGCTTTTCATTGCTAATGGAGATTACTAATGTATTACTAATTACTAACTGGAATACACAGAAATAACAACATAGAGCAAATTTCTAACATGGTGACTAAAAAACAAAAACAAATCACCACTGAGACTCTGTTTGAGCCAAACCGTTACAGAAACTGAATACTCAGTTTCTTCTTATATGACAAAACTCAGAAGAAAACTGAATTTATCCTTTACATTAAAGCAGAAATATTGTGATAAAAAAGTTTGATTACCTCCTTGTTCATCTAACATCACCACAGTTCTGATGCCAACATCTTTGCTCTGCATGGGAGAAAATAAAAAACACTTTTAGCAGTACATTTAGAAAGGTGATTAAAACAACCTCAATAAACATTGATTATTGGTATGAAACTCAACACTTCTAAACAGGTGGTAAACTAATTATAATAACAGTTAAGTATAACGTAAAATAAAAAAACAAACGAACCTAAGGATTACAAGAAGCCAGATAATTAGTAACACTGTAAGAACAGAGCAAGAAAAACTATTTTCATTTATGCAAACTTGAGGAAATGAAGCATGAAATTTCTATGGGACATTCATTTAAGTCAGTATTTTTTCATGTTGTAGGTTCAAAACAACAACAAAACTACTAAAAAAATGGATTTGGCGTTATGGAGGGAACACTGCCTGTAATGGATGGAATGGAATGGAAGTAACATTTGCCAGGATTTTTTTACATTTTTATTTTTTTTAGTATTTAATTGTTGTTCAGTTATGTTCATTTTAGTCTTTCCATATCAGCTGATACATTTATGTTTAGTTTCTTAGTTTATTCTTGTTCTCTGTTCTTTACAAATAGTGTTTTAAATATTTTCTTAGTTCACCCCATTTGTGTGTGAATTGGTCTCACATTATTTGCTAATTTACTAACCTGCACTCTGTCATTCTCCACTTTATCCTCAGTATACAGTCACCGGTTCTCATTGTTTCCTGTTGGATCTTTCTGCTGCTCTGTCATGCTTTGAGTTTTTGCATTTTGTCATATTTAACTCCTTCAAATCATTTAACGACTACTGGAACCTGTCTGAGCTGTGTGCTGCTCCCAAACCACAACTTAAGACACATTAAACATAATTATTACTTTGTTATAGGCTGCACAGTGGGTAGCACTGCTGCCTAGCAGCGAGAACTTTCTGCCCGGGGTCTTTCTGCATGGTTGAGTACATTCCGAAAAATATCTGTCTGCCTACTTTTATGTGTACATGGACCTTAATGAAATTTCCATCTAACTTTATAGGGTTAAATTCATTCATGGACCCCTTTCTCGTAATTGCACCTCTAACTATTCAGTAAACATCTCCCACAAGCAATTCAACATCTGTCCTACTTCCTCCCAAAGGTAGGATGAGGGTTGAGGTCAGGACTCATGATTTCCGATCTACCCTGGAAACAACCAGTACGTCAACCAGATGACGCAACGGGAGATGGATGCTTTGGATGAGACTGCTTAGGCAGGTTTTTGAAGTAAGAGTCAAAATCTTCTTATCAGTAACCATCCTGCTTTCCAGAGCCAGGCAGTGGAACATGGCATGATGGATGGAAAATAAGCATTAAATTCACCTTCATAATTACCGGTCCAAATTACATCAGGCAGCTTGTAATGAGCAACATCAACTGGAAAAGAAAATGTTGTACAGAGGGAGGGAGCAGCAGGCCCTTTGTTAAAGAGAGCAATGAGAATGGAAAACAACATTTCCCTGATCATCCAAATTATGTAGGAAGAAGAAAGAATGGTTTAATTTGAAGAATCACAACAAAGGAGGAAGAATTTTCAGCTGATGAGACAACAGATGTAGCTGAACTCCCTTAGGTTAGGGACTTTCTAAAGGTTGGGACCCAGAGGTCATAAAGTGGTGGCTGCAAGAGGCAGAAAAATGCTCTGGGTCATTTATAAAATTAAACAGTTAAACAGAAAATGGCATTATTGTTACAATTTTATGCACAATAAGTTAAATAAATCCTTTCTGAAATGATCAAGGAAGGCTTCCATCTAATCCCCAAGAAAAACCTGATGGTTTAGGGCAGGATTCAATCAGCACACACCCACACTATCAGGCCAGAACCAAGGCTGATTCTCCTAAGATCTATTAGCTCCCTGGCAGGCAGGCTTATGAAGTTGTGTCAAAATTAAGGGTTCTCTGTTCTCAATGAGAAATCTGAATGTTTTCACTAATTTTCCATAATCAGCTGCTCTAAAATCTAGAAGAAAAAAAACTGACGCTTTGCAATTGGAATTTCAGGAGGGAAACTATATATAGGAAAACTAAAGTCTTATCTCCATTATGAGATTTTCCATTAAAACATTATTAGTAGAAATCCTCTTGAGTTCATTTTATTTTCTTCAATTTGCCACCAGCCTGTTCTGCCTGCATCTCCAATTCAGTCATGAAAATATCCGACACTGTTAACAGTGTATGCTTATGCCTTCTGACTGAATCTAACATTTTAAGCCTTCAATACCAAAAATATCTGAGAGGCATCTACAAAAATATGCAATAGATTTTTATGAGCCTTATGAGGTCAGAACCCTCTAAATGCTGGAATTAACCAGCAATTAAGGTGAAGGGTTATTTCTAAGGGGTTTTCTTTCCTCTGTTTTGAGCCCTTTGGTTCTATAATGCAGATGTTCTTAGGTTCATAGCCCTCCTGTCTATTTACTTTTAATAGGATTTTGTTGCAAAAGAAACAAATCCCTTATTTCATTGCAATTCCAACTGTAGCGATACATCCATCCAGCATGATGCTGCCCCCACCTTAAAAAATATTGTCTGCAATTTGTTATGTTTGTAGGGGAATGCCCCAAACGCAGATATCAAGGTTAAAAAAAATCTTCCAAGTATGTAGGCCAGAGGCTGTAGACTCCGAAGGCCAGATTCGTTGGTCGATCATGTCACTAGGGCCTCTCCATATTCAAAGACTTTTTCGTATGCGGCCGACAAAAGCAGCCTTCTTTTTGCGAGGGTAAATGGACAGGTCAGCTGCATCTTTCATAGCTTAGGGTATCCCGTAATCAGGGGCAAATTTAGGAACTATGGGGCCATACGCAAAGACAGGCAGAGGGCCCTCTGAACTGAGAAGACAATACATAAAGCAGACCCCTTATACAGATACAGAAATTTTTATAGAATAGACATACATTATTTGTTCTATGTTTTGTCCCTTTTCTTGTTGTTTTCCTCTCTATGTTTTGTACTTAGCTGACTTTTCATGCTGTCAAAAGGAATGAAAGATTTTTTCCAAGCACTAAGCTCACTTAGCTGATTGCTCCTTGCTGTGTTTCCAAAAAGGGGATGGCAAAAGTAAATAACACAGTCTTTCTATTTCCTGTACACAAGCCATGATCTGCTTGTCTGTTCTCCATTTTTCATTTGTGTGAGAAAATAGCTGCATGAATCAATACAGCAGGCAAGATAGAGGAGAGTAGAAGTGGGGATTACATATCTACTTGCTCTAGAGAGCAGAGTTTGGTGCTTTTTTATGTTGTCGCTAAAGTGTCCAGTAGCAGAAAAAAGTCGCTAGATTTGGCACTAGGCGTTTTTTTGTGAAATAAAAGTGCTAGAGGGGTCTGAAAAGTCACTAAATATAGCAACAAATGTGCTAAGTTGGCAACACTGCTGCTGCACTGTTTGTTTTCAAATGATTTGCTGCTGCCTGTTTGGACCTTTCTGAGCATGCACACTAAATGGATACTAGGCAGCTGCCTAGTATTGCCTAATGGTAAATCCGCTCCTGCCCGTAATTCATTGTGAGTCCAAAGCAAACCAGCTGCTCCATGCTCGGAGGAAAAAGGGAAATGGCAAAGAAAAGTGTTGAATATTGTAAGTACAGTTTAATATAATACAAGTATTATATAAAAATTTATGAAAATTAATTGAAATGGTTAGTGAGTCTGATATGTTGCGGGTAATGTTTGTTTTATTGATAGATTTTTCTGTGCTAATGGGTTTGGCCAGATTCCAGTATCTCTGGAGTCTATGGACTATAAATCTGATATCTATGACAAAGATACTTCTGCTGAAGCTCTTCAGAAATGAAATTAGCACATAGAACAGTAGTGAGAAGTTTGGCATCCATTCTTGCGTCAACTGTCATGGTTTCTCTGACAGAGCGTATGCTAAGTGATGGGCGGTGAAAGTCAGAGAAGGTTGGACTCTTCCGGCCTCCTTATTTTCATGGCCTTCGAAGGATCGTGCCAGCTAGGCTGTGTCCTTCAGAATAAACAGAAGTAAAAATTAAACACAGCCATAAACTGAGAGAAAACTAGAGAAGGAAATTTAATGTCGGTGAAAAATAATGAGGAGCAGCTGGGACAGAGGAAGTTCCCACAGACTAAAGGCTGATTTATACTTCGAAAACCAGGTCATCGGCGTGTTTGTCGCAGTGAATGCAAATGTGCCCCAGCCCCTGCCGCAGACACTCTGCTGCACCTCTCCCAAATTGCTTGTTTTGTTTGTATGACCGCCATTGCGGAAAGCGGCTCGTGAAATTGAACCTCCTAGAAGAGTGAGTTGCGCAAGAACGCTGGGACCCTTTTTCAACCTGGATCCCCGCTCTTTTTCGCCCTCATGTCCCTCCATTGTCACACAAACTTCTTTTTTGCCTCGGCCATATCTAGACCCACAGCTATTTCCTGATTGTCCCTCTTGCATTGTGGTGTGGAATAACATGACCACACTTCAATATTGGGCATAATCAAAAATATCTGCAACAATCTCACTGCGACACACTGCTGCGGGGAGTATAACCAGCCTTTTAGAATAGACCAATTAGCACAATTGCAGCAGGACTAAAACACAAAGAAAGTAGATAATCAAAGGAAAATTATGGATCAGGTTATCCTGAGTTATCTCTAAAGTAATGCCTACTATAGGCTTAGACTTCTGGAGGACATAGGGGCCCTTTTTTATCATTCTGCTTCATTCTATCTTTATTCTCCCACACTGCAGAATCTGTTAGTTCAATCTCTAATGTTATGATCTCTCTGCATTTTCTCATAGTAGCTTCATCTGGTCTGTTCCTGTCTGGCTGTGACACCATCCTGTAGAGAAATATCAGCTGTGCTGCTGCCATCAACACCTTTGTTTCTAGATGTTGGAGATCAGCCTGTTTTCCAGTGTAGTCCTGTTTCTCTGACTGTGACTGGCTGGATGTGCTCTCTTCATCCTCTGACATGGGAGCTGGCTCAGAGCTCATCTATTTGACTGTGTGTTTCCTGGACGNTCTCTGCTTCTGTCTCCTTGAACCCCAGTCGGCCTCAGCAGATGGCCGCTCACACTGAGCCTGGTTCTGATGGAGGTTTCTTCCTGTTAAAAGGGTGTTTTTCCTCTCCACTGTCACTACAAACATGCTTAGTGTGAGTAATTACCTTTTAGTCAACTAGTCGATGCAACAAACTGGTTTTCCTTAGATAGAAAACTTTGAATCAATTTGACTGGATGATCTGGTGAACTGTAAATAGTCTTGAGATGACATGTGTTCTGAATTGGTGCTATATAAATAAACTGAATTGAACAACAAGGGTGCGTACGCGGTACGCCAACACCATAGTGAACTTTTGAAGAGTTTCAGTCTGGCTTTAGAACTCATCATAGCACTGAAACAGCTCTGGTGAAAGTCTCTAATAATATTCTCATGGCTTTAAATAAAGGACTTGTATTTGTACTTGTCCTGTAAGTGCTGCATTTTAATACAGTTGATCATAATATTATTTTAGAAAGACTTAAATATTTTGTAGGGATTAAAGGAACAGCACTAGACTGGTTTATATCTTATCTATCTGATCGATTTCAGTTTTACAACAGATTTATTACTGTTGGAATAAAGGTAAATACTTATGTTAGAAACAAGCAAAAGTTCAATGACTTGTTCCAAACGCAGCAAACTTTTGACCTTGCTGTTTTTATCTAAGGTGATGCATTGCAGCTGGTTGCTCCCCCTCCCTTTTAGAGCTGCATGCCACATTATAACCAGGGTGTCCCCAAACTGAATAAAGGCTGTAGACGCACTCAGGACGGTAAGAGCATCGGGGTGACTTTCCCTGGGTGTTCTTCCTGCAGGTTAAACGGCAAATTATGACTCCTTTTCTCCTTTGTTTTAACGGTTTAGGTGCTGTAACCTTACATTTACAGAACAAAAGACTAGACAAAATTAATGAACTAAATCAGAAGGAATTAACTAATATGGCAAGACATTAGATATTTAAAGAACATAATAAAACAACAATGATATGATGAAAACAAACACAGTAAAGACCCTTAACCTCGCACTTAGAGGACATGACAGCAAGAAAACAAAGATGAATCTGCCATCTATCTGTGGCCCTGTAATCTGTATTTATAATCTGGTTCCGAATGTATTTAATTCTGTTTGAGCATAAAGATGTTATGTGTTTTTTAACTCCAAGTCAAATTTGTTGAAGAACTAAGATCTGGTCTCCTAAATCAAATGTTTTAAAAATGCTTTTACCAGGTGTTTTTGATCACTTATTTAGAGAAACAATGCATTTGATATTGATGTGAATCTATGCCAATTGTTCTATGCAGGGTGTTTGTTGGCAGGCTAGGCTTTCCTAGGTGCCAACGCCACTGTGTAAATGTGTGTGAGCGCACCTCCTCCATCAGCTGAACCATCCGCCTGGTGCTTTCAAGGGACTGAAACACACAAAGAAATCTTACTTCAGTTCACATTTTAAGGTATTATTTGCTTACATTTATATCTCATTTTAAAAATATGTATCAGGTGCAGTTTCCAGATGGGCCAAATATTGTGAAAACCAGGTTCCTTCAGAATCAGCTCTCTGGGCTCCTGCTCAGAGTGGGCACGGTTCCAGAGCGTAAATGTCTCCTCTGGCTCTCAGTGCTTGAAAGGAAAACAACCATGATGATATCAGGAAGGTGTTGGGCAGTTTTCTGTCAACATCCAGCCTGCCTCTGGGGGGGTTGTCCCCAATGAGATGCAGAGAGCAGATAAAGAATGAGTCAGTGTGAGTGTGTCTGATCTCTGACCTCATTGTGGTTGCAGGGAGACCAGCTGTCTCTACAGACCAGCTGTCTCTATAGCAACCAGGTGAGCCAGGTGTTGCCAACCCCCAGGCGTAGCCCAGGCTGTGATGTCTCTGTAACGCTGATGTCACATGTTACATGTTTATCATGGTGTAAAATCTGCCTCTCTTGGGCTCACCTAATTATTTTTAGCCTTGTTTTGACTCTGACTTTGACTCTAGTTTTTGTTTTGACCCAGTAGTACTCATACTAGACTAATATACTCACACTCAGGGAGTATGGATTATTCCATAACCCAACCTGAGAATCTATATAAATATTGGCAAAACTGGGTCATGCCCTCTTGAAACATCTTTGTTTCACGGTGAAGAATCCCCAAATAACTTGATGTTATTTGGTGCTGATAGGGCCTTTTTCTTGCCTCAAATTTGCTCAGGATTGATTCCAACCAGCCAGGCTTCTAAAGATGGAAACTTTTTCCTAACTAATATTATAGCCCCCACATGTATCATATTTATAGTTTGATTAAATATTATGCATATGATTAGGTTACACTAGTATAAAATAAAATGAGTTTGTTCATCTGTTCATCTGTAACATTTATTTAGACATCTGCTCGATTTTATTGGAGTGAATTCAACAGATTTCTTCACCAGTCTTCTATTAGCATCTATTTAGGATATGAGACTATACTGTGTATCTGTGATTATAATTATGATATACTAAAAGAAAGAACACTGAATTATAAGGAAATTATAAGGAAAATGGGAAGAAATCAAAATGGTGTTTGCTTACGTTATATATAGAACTATGCATTCATTTGTAATTTCTGTGAATTTCAAACGTGAGTAGTTATAAATACTCCAAAGTCAGTTGGATTAGAGATCATTTAAAAATAATAAAAACAAATAAAATGAGAACACAGTGATGTGTACACCAATAATCCACCAAAGAGAGATGATCATTATTGTCAACAGAACATTTATCAGGTGATGTAATTACTTCATCTGTAACTTGATTGGCTCTCCTCTGCAGCTCCTCCTGCTCTGTCAGGACGGGCGGGTCAGCGCAGCTGGTGGCCATTTTGGTTCAGTCTTAATTTGATTATGTCTGGAAATATGAAAATGTTATTATTACTTTCATCCATCCATCCATCCATCCATCCATCCATCCATCCATACTTCTGTCATCCATCCCTCCATCATCCTTCTCCTTCCAATTATCCATCCATCCATCCATCCATCCATCCATCCATCCATCCATCCATCCATCCATCCATCCATCCATCCATCCATCC